AAACCCAAAAAACACACTCACACACAATAGGGAGAGGCCTCCCACATGCCAGAGTAAGACCTCAACATGAAATAGAGCTTGTTTTTACACCCAGAGCAAAAAAAATCCCCAAAAAAGTAATGAGTGAAGCTCGAAAATCATAGCGACTCATAGCGACTGGTCATCCACATCAACACCTACTTACCGGCTTATGCTTTACTGCTGGTTTCCTCTCTGCAGGCTTTTTGGCTGCATCTGACACCTTCCTCACAGTTAAAGGCACTCCATATTTGCTGGCTGGTTTGGTAATCTTCTGAGCTGGAGCAAGTGGTATGGAGCCAGGGGCAGAACGCTTAGCTGGTCACACACAAGTAAAAAAGATATGAACATTTATCCAAGTCAGTATTCAACCTCAAAGACAGTGTGAAATGCAAATAAATAAACATTCTGTATATTTCCTAGCAGGTCTACTCACTGGTCTCCACAGTATAATAAGTAAAGGAAAATGCAATTCAGTAATTTTATTCACATAGTAGTTATAGTTGTAATGCACATGGTGTTTCTAACCTCTGGCCTGCATTGCACCAACAAAAATGACATTTGGAGCATCAATTGAAGCAAAAGAGGCAGTTTATTTCTCCCTCTGAAGACTACAGTAAATATAAGTCAGCCATTTCAGAGAGAGGTACACTTGCCTACTAAAAATACCATTCCCGTATCCCTGTGTAAATTGTTCATGTATCTCTCCAAATATATGTTTTAAAAATAATGTGAGTATTTCTATTTCAAAATCCCTGTTGTTTGGATATTAGTTTGTGTAAATTTCCCAAAGGAGTGTGGTTTATCCTCCTCATCCTCCACCTCTTGATCTAACAATACAAGTGAGGGAGGTGTGGATTGAGGCCAACAGTCCTAACAGCTCTGAATCTCTCCAGAGCTTCCCAGCAGCTGTGCTTTTAAGTCATCTAATCAAATCCGAATGATTACCACAAATCCCTCCTCTCATAATACCCCACCTACATATTCCATTTCACACAGAAATATGCTACTAAAGCTAAAGGTGCTCTAACTGCTGTTTAACTGGGGCTTTAATACAGCGTGTGTATCAAATAATGAATTTTTACTCATTTGAACTGACTCTCCACGCAAAAAAAACTGGATTTGGTGACTCCTAGTGGTAATATCTCAAAAGGAAACTGTGGTGGAAGCTAAGAGTTTAAGGGTTTTTCCATGGGCCTGGTTCAGTCCACTTTAGCCGTACCAAGCCACGATGACATGCATTTCTGCCCCTGTGGTCCTTTACTTACCTGGTGGCCCCTGCACCACACCAACTTTAGGCTGCTTGTGAAGAAAAGTATGGTGGAATTCCTGAGCAATGATCTGGAATCAGTAGAGAATAAATATTTTTTAACAGAACACAGTTCTGTTTTATGTAAATCTGGTTTGTATCAAAGACAAGTAACTGCATGCTCTACCTGTGGTGTGAGGAACCTCTCTATCCTACAGGTCAGGAAAGGTTTGTCCAGTACGCTGCTGACTGAGGGCCTCTCTCGAGGGTTGCGTTTAAAAAGCTGCGCCAAGAGAGAGCGCAGTTCTTGGGAGTAGTGAACAGACACGGGAGGGTACGAGCCACGGATGATCTTCAGAACTAGGTTCTTCATGTTGCCAGCCTCAAACTGAGGAGAAATACATGAAGAGCACATTCATTACCACTGCAAAGAAACTACTGATCATAGGCAATTATAGTCTTTAAAATGTAGTTTATGAAACCATTATACATACATACATACATACATACAGGAAATCAATATGTGCGAGAGCATTGCAATGCTGCATAAAACATACATTCAATTCTACATTAATTAGTAAACAGCTCACAACACAGAATACTTACTGCATGCTTAAGAGTGCACATTTCATATAGGACACACCCTAGGGCCCAAATATCACTGCAGAGGGAGGGAAAGCAGGGAAAGTGAGAGGAGAGAGCATACAAATGGACAGGCAGGGATAAGTTGTAGGGTAGCTTTACATTCACTGCAATGATTTCCCTTTCTTCAACATTAACTGGAGAGAAAAAAGGGCTTCATTGCTGAGAAAACTCCATATGGAACATTAAAACACTGCTAAATTTACTTCATTGGTTGTGACCAAAGTGGATTAGATTACATGCATACTTAAAATAGTTAAAGACGAAATCAATACTAGTTTCCTGCTGTAGCTCTAGACCAGCAGATTCACTCAATAAAGAGGAGACATGATACCTTTACATCACCCAGAAGCCACCACCTAATCCTGCATGACTCACTTTAGTGGGACAGATCTTGTCCCCTGGATTACAATTAAATATTGATTTACACTACAAGTGAGACAAACACTAAAATCATGGTATTCCAGAACATCAAGTGGGTACCTTTTGTTGTTGTACGGTTTGTTTTCGCAAATCTCTGGTGATAGGTAATATGGCGTTCCTATACATGTTCTTGCCAATTCTACAGTGCTGCAAATAAGAATGGAAAGCAAATTGTATTATGTTTCATTATTCCCAAATCTGAGCTGTATCTGTAGATCGATTCAGATTATATTTTACACACCTGTTCAGCACCCTTGCAATTCCAAAGTCCCCAAGCTGTACAGTCCCATCTTTTGTCAAAAAAATGTTCTATGGGGATATTGTGAAAAGACGTGTAAATAAGCCAATACATGGTAAAAAAAAAATACAAGTTAGTGTCACTAAAGGATACTGTTGTGGTGCATGAAGCGATACCTGTGATTTGATGTCTCTGTGGAGGATTTTTCGATCATGTACATGTTTCAGGGCCAGGCAAATCTGCACGAACCAATCCAAGATCTAGGACAGGGAGAAGACGGTAAACGCACATTAATCAATTTCCTATCAACATCGTTTGTAATTATACAACCCAGGGAAAATACATTTCAAAGAAGAGGACAGAGATATGGAATAGCACCAGTTTAATATCATACATTTAGTCCACATGTTGTACACCGTTTCACTCCGTCAAAAGGTATGTAAACATGAGTGATTGTCTCAGAGTTAGTGGCTTACTTGCTCTTCTGAGAACAGTACTCCTTTCTGAGAGTTGATCTTCTTGAAGAGGTCTCCTCCCTCACAGTAGTCCATAACAATATACAAGCAGCCCCCCTCTGAAAAGAATTTGAGATGGCATTCAGAAAAGTCATAATATACACCAGATATTGTGTCCATCAGGGTAGAATTGCGAAAGATTAAATCTGTGGTTCTTTCAGACAATGGCTAAGACTAACTTTGGATTGAGTGAATACCTTCAAAAGACTCCTTATACTGGACAATGTTGGGATGACTCATGTTGGCAAGAACGGCGACCTCTTTTCGAGATTCCTGCCTCTCTTTACTTGACATCTGTCAAAATAACAGAGTGTGAGAGCAAGGTAGTAAAAGGGAGCTCACATTAACAGTGAAATGTAAAACTGGTGTAATAGAATACATGGCAGCTTACTCCAGATATGCCAATCTCCTTGATGACATATTGGTGTCCATCCTCTTTGGATTTGACAAGGACGGCCTTTCCAAATGAACCTTCCCCAATTTTCTTCACCTTTTCGTACTTGTCCATGTTAGTGGAGTGACTGGCTCCTCATGCTGGGTCTGCAAAGAGATCAGGGAACATATTGCAGAGTGTTTGATCATAAAGGGTTTCATGACAGTCTGGGCAATATTTTCACCCACTATTGTGGACTTCAGTAACCATGACTGTGTGTCGTGCTGTAAGTATACAGTATTGTTAGCTCCATCGGGTGTTGACAGACAGTAAAGGATCTCTTGCCTCAGACGGGCTGTGATGCTGAAGCAAGACACATTACAGATGGTAGCAAGATAGCTAACGTTACAGTTACATAGTAGCTAGACGAATACGGAAGCCCAAGAGCACCCAACACAAAATATATGCCTTGCGAGTGCACGCAACACCGAGTACAATAATTAACGCGGGTCATTAGGTAGGGGTATATAGATGCTTTTAGGTGGCAAATACTAGGCTTACCATTAGTGTTTTTCGCTGCTGTCTCACAGAGGCTGTGGTACTTGCTACCGCCCTCGCGCTCTCTATCTAACTACAGCTCTCTTTTTTTGCTGCTTTTTAATTGGCCACCTTCATGTTTTTCGATCGCGTATTGGTTCATGCAGCTGTCCATCATCCTTCACGGTGGATGACGGCCTTAGTCTCCACCCACAAAGGGACTGTTGCTGTGGACATTTTCCATAGCAACCACAACCCAACCGGTACAAACATAGACATATAAATATAACGTTATATCTTTATAATATAAAGACATATATATATATATATATATGTCTATGGGTACAAGTATTTGCACCGTGTTTTCGGCCAACCAAATACACTTTACTCGTAATTTAGTTTGTTGGTAGAGCAGTTTTTATTTTTATTTTGGTATTCTTTTTTTCCAAACGAGCTTTACTTTACTTGAATGAACATCAGACCAAAAATAATGTTTACTTGTTTAATGGTTTAATTTACTTGTGTTAAACCTCTCTTGAAATTAAATTAACAAAACAACAAAGTATTTTAAGTTTTAAATAAGAAAACAAATATGAAATATGAATATCTAAGAAATAAATAGTTATTTAATATATAAAATGCATAAACTACACTGAAAACCATAACAATATACTGTATATAAGGTAAATCACATAGAATACGAGTAAAACATTTTAAAATAAAGTTAGTGCAGTGTGATTGTGATCGCTGGCTACTCACAATTAAAAAGTTAAGGAACAAAGATAGATGTATTATGTAACTACAGAAACTATGACAGTATGTAAACTGGTGCGTTTTGAACCTTACTGTATCGTTTTCTAAAGCTTTTTCTCTACATGTTTGCTGATAGGGGTGCGTATATCCGCTCGAGTCACAGTGAAATGTATCCAACGTTTTATTCAGAGACCGATCCTGGATCAGATCCGCGCAGTACCGTTGTCTCTTTATAACGGCTCACATTAATAACTTGTGGTCACATGACTCTCTGGCACACGCCTCCCTGTCTGTGCAGGTGACGCACTGAGGTTCAGTGTGTGAAGATGGCTCCCTTTCCGGACGAGGTGGATGTTTTTACTGGCCCACACTGGCGTATGAAACAGCTGGTGGGCCTGTACTGCGAAAAGGTACGTAGAAATAAATGTCTGTCGTTAATTTGCGGTTTAACCGAGCAACGTCTGAAGAAATATGGCCAACGGACGCGTGTACGCTGACTAGCCCGCCAGCTAGCTTTTGTATATATAACAGCGCTCAGTCAGTCGAAGCGGGTGAACTATCGGAGGATTGTCTCATGACTACAGTGGGACCGCTCGGTAGCTTCGTGGGTCGACTCATGAACGCCAAGTGATCGTTGCACGGAGGTGTTTGTCCCTCTGAAGCTCGTACTGGACGGCCCTCAGTAAACTTTCAGTAACACAACTACGGCTTGCTAACTGGTTTAGCTAGCTTGCTAGCTTCACAACTTCCAAGATAGCTTGTTATGTAACATGCTTCAAGTATCACAACGCAGTTTCTGATGTTATCACGAAGTGTTTACTGTTGGAGACGTACAGGCTGTCAGTGGTAATGTCAGCGTGTGTCACAGGAGCTACGTTAGCGACACTAGCTAATGCACGGCGGCTGTGCTAACGTTACGTATCCAGTGAGTGCTGTAATGTTATCAGTCCGAGTTTACGTCCTCCGCAGCCATGGCGTTGTTGCGTAACCAATATTGTGATCTAATGGTACCAACAGAAGCGCTAATTATATTTATCTCATGGCTCTCGGTATAAACACACATGAGTTTACATTGTATATTAAACTAGTGTTTCTGTTTGTTTTTTCACAGCTGTCAAAAACCAACTTCTCCAACAACAATGATTTCCGCTCCTTTCTGCAGTCACTGTGCGCCACCTTTAAGGAGTTTAAGATGCATGAACAGATAGAGAATGAGTGCATCATCGGCCTGTTGCAGCAGCGCTGCTGCACTGTGTACAATGTGCACTCTGACAACAAACTCTCAGAGATGTTGTCCCTCTTCGAAAAAGGCTTGCACAACGTTAAGGTAAATATGAATTTACATTTTAAAGAAACCTTTATTATCATGCTGTGGCCCTACAACATTGCACGCGTTGCACATTTCTTTCAGCATTTCGGCTTAGCAGAAGAAAACAGGCTTTACTTTACATACAGGAGTTCTGCAGAGCTCAGCTGATGCTCAGTGGTGACACACTGTCATCGTGATAACTATTATGTTAGTCACTCAAACACTTCAGTACCAACAACATCAGAATTGTTATTTTTCACGAGTATTCATTTTACTTTTTTAAAAGTTAGAAAAATATTCTGTAGTTCTTTTAAATGTAGAGTCATTTATTTTAAAGCCCTCTGACAAATTGTTGCATCCATGTTCATAAAATAAGTTAAAACCAAACATTAGTTGCTGTATTTGGAGTTGCTGGATGTTATTTTTTAAGAAAAAGAACCAGATGCACAAAGAGTTGGGCTGAATTCTGTGAAAAGGGCAGGGTTGTTTTCTTTTGTGATCTGCTTAACAAGAGAGAAGAGTCATTGTTCTCTCTGGAGCCATGGGCAAACCAAAAAACGGGCTTTCCAGAATTATGCAATTGTATAAATCTTAACTTCCGCTTTGCTTCAGTCAGTTTGTAAAACAGACAAGAACATTCTGCTGCGTTGAATTGAGATCCTGGAAGATGTTTATCTTGATATAAATAATTCTGTGCAGAGATCTTTTTTAAATAGTTGGAGGCCCTTATTCTGAATTTCCCCCAGTCTTTAGACTTAGACTTTGGAGAATAATAGGTGTAAGATGGTTATAACTCATAATTGCCATCACTGACAATCAGGTTACTGACTACACATTTGGTAATTCGTCACTGAAAAGACTGAAATGCTAGATGTTGTAGATGGGATTGTATAGAAGTCTCAGTCATCATACTTTTTAAGGGATTCCACAAATGAATAATTGTGTGTTTTTTAGAGTGAATATGAGCAGCTTAACTATGCCCAGCAGCTGAAGGAGAGACTAGAAGCTTTCACACAGGACTTTCTGCCCCACATGAAGGAAGAAGAAGAGGTATAAGATGTTTATTATTTTTCTTGTTCAAATAAATGTGTGTTAATAGATTCCCCAGAGAATGGGTAAGACTAAATTGTGTTCGTAAAGAAAAACAAAAAGTAAACCCAAGGAAATGTATTTAGAAACATGTTTGTTCATACCCCAGTGGATTGCACTGTGGCGAGCTGTTTATAAACTGAGGAGATTCGTTGCAGGTTTTTCAGCCTATGCTAATGCAGTACTTCACCTACGAGGAGCTCAAGGACATCAAGAAACAGGTGATAGCACAACACTGCAGCCAACAGCAATGGGACTGTGCCGCTGAGGTGCTGAAGGGCTTCAGTCTGTGGAGCCAGGCAGAGGAGCTGCAAAAAGCCTTTAAATATTCCGATCATGAGAAGACAGATTATGGTTAGTGAGTATACTCCTAAATGTTAAAACATTTTTCATGCGAACAAGCCAGGAATCACAAGTCATTTGATGAGATGCTTGGTTTTACATACCTGAAGGAAGGTTCTTTCCTGTCCGAGCCTTAAGGGGAGCACTAACGCCAGTATTCATTACCACTGCTGTGGTCACATACTGGTCACAGCCGGTACATGAGTGACTAGTTCTCCCAGCATGTCTGTGTACAGCAGGCTGTTGAGGACGTTAGCCTGTCTGTACACTTTTCAAATGTAGGTACATAGAAAAGTTTGTCCTACAAATGCAAACAGCATTGTGACTATCTTAACTTAATACCTAATTTTTGGGTCAAAATAAGGATAAGGACACTTTGGGCTCTGGTTGTTTGTGATGAGCCTTGGAAATATTGTAATGATGTAATTGTATCAACAAAACAAACAACTACTTTAACAGAATTGGTTGATCAAATAAATATTAAAAGATATTTGAAGCCCAGCAGTATCTGGAGCATCTAGGACTTGCAGTGCAATTGGCTTTTATCACAGCAGACAAAGCAGCGGCTTCACTAATAACATTAAAAATGGCCCCTCATGTCCGCAGTGTCCCAGTATGCTATCACAGTGAGCCAGCATGTACAATAGCAGGGCCTTAAAACCGAATTCAGCCACTGTTTTCCTACTGTGAAATGTCAAAACGTCCTCTGTGAGAAAGGCCTGTGTCCAAGCAGTGCTGTGTGTAATTATTTGTCATGACATTTGGAGATTGTGCACTTCATAATATTGACATTGGAAGCTGTTGTGTCCTCGTCCTCAGAACTGGAAAAGACCGGGAATTCTTCAACCCACATCTCCCAGCTTCCTACAGAAATCATGCTGAGGCTGTTCCACTATTTGGGCCCTGAAGATCTGTGTCGCTGTAGCCAAGTGTGCAGCTCTTGGTCAGAGCTGGCCAAAACTGGCTCTCTGTGGAGGCACCTGTACCCTGTGCACTGGGCCAGAGGTAGGCTGCTGACAGCTAGTGATTACTCTAAGGAACAAAATACTGTTTACTTGGCTTAATTTTCCTTGCAAAAGAACACAATGGCATTAAATATGTTGTGGTGGTGCACTGCTGATTAATGTCTGTGTGTCTCTAAATGTAGGTGATTATTACAGTGGCCCCCCTGCGGATCTGGACCAGGACCCAGATGAGGAGTGGGTAAAGAGTCGGCAGAATGAGGGTCGGGCCTATCAGGAATGGGATGAGGATGCTGATGTTGATGAATCTGGTGAGGTTTTGTCTTAAGCGAAGAGCATGCCTCAGTTAGTGACCAAAACAGCAGCACTGACTGTATGTATGATCATTTCAAAAAGAAGCTAACACAAACATATATATATATATATAATTGGTAAAGTGCTACTGCTAGTTTCAATACAACAAGTGGAAAGGAGGTTTATGTTATAAAATATATTGCAGATAAAAAAAACACATCTACAAAACTGGATCTTCATCAACACTGGTATCAAAGGGCATTTGTTTCGACATTTCTAATATTTGGTTTTGATAGTCAAGATAAGAGAGATGCACAATAGTTCCTGCTCTTGTTGATATAGCGTAATAAAACACTATACTCACTACACTTTTTATTTATTATTTATAACATTTAAATGTGTTTGCCTCAGTCAGGGCACTACACATTTGCTCACATGGTCATGTAGTGAAACCTTTATCACCTTTATTCACCGAGCGTTTGCCCTGCAGTCACAAAGGGGCACCCTGCAGATCTCTGGCTGCACTCTGGCATACAGGTAGTAAACAGGCCTGCAGTGTAGCCAAACACTGTCACGTCGTCGTTCTTTGAAAGTGAAGGTTAAAATCAGTTCTGTATCTGAGCTGAGTTAATTACGTCATCCTTGTTGTTGTTCATTGTCTTTTTAGATGTGTCGGGCCATACACAGGGCTCCCTGGCAATTAGCACTGCTCAGCGAGAGAAGAGGCTTCTGAATGGGATTATCCAGAACCTCCTGCCAGCTGTGGGTCCGTCTGTCAAGTCCATTGTTCTGGCGTACAGTTCTACAGTCTCTAGTAAAATGGTATGCAGCGCAAAATCTTGCCCAGTGCCCGATTATGAAGACCATGTGAAGTCTGAACTGTCATACCTTTGTCCTCTTTTCAGGTGCGCCAGATCCTCAGTCTCTGCCCCAATATCACTCACCTGGACCTGACCCAGACTGATGTTACAGATTTTGCATTTGACAGGTAAATATTAAAAGTCATTACTAAAATACCATTAAGTCATTTCTGATTATGCACAGTGCTTGTAGCATCATTGACAAAGTTGTACCAGGTCAAATATTCCTAGTCCATTCTTTTTAATGTACACAGTCCTCATCATTACTATGTTCTTGCTATCCTCCCTCTTTCAGCTGGTCATCTCTCGGAGCCTGTCTGTCTCTGGAGCACCTGGATTTGTCGGGTTGTGAGAAGATTACTGATCACACCCTGAAGAAACTGTCCGTTGGGCTGGGTGACCTCACGTCTTCCACCTGCTTCGACAAACGCTCGGACCGACGGGCCAAGCTCCTTAAAAGTTCCCCGATACCCATCACGCTCATGGAAGAGAGGAACCTGCACCCGTTGGGGCGGAAGCGGCAGGCCATCATTTTCAAGCAGGGGAGTGACCGTTGGGGCACTGCCCGCTCCCCCACGCAAGTGTGGGTCTTGGACACCTCAGACCTTGCTGATATTGAAGACGCAGCAGCGTGGAGCCGCCGTGATGGGATGCCTCATCCTGAAGCAGAGAGCTTCGTAGAGACACAGCTTGGGGGAGGCTCGTGCTGCTGCAGGAGGAGCAGGAGGCGCGGGCACAGGACTGGCTCTAATGCCTCCTATTTGCATCAGCAGTACGCCATGTCTGGGGAAATATTTTGTGGTCACTCCACGTGTTGCACTAGTGACATGGCCCTCAGGACTTTTACTGGGCCCCAGTGCGAGTCAGGTACCACCAGAAGCAGCACTGCAGAGTTTCGGACTAAATGCTCCTCCTTTGGGGGCCTGCGGTGTCTGGGCCGTGAAAACAGGACTGACCGGTCAGAGGCAAAACGCTCACTGAGATTTCTCAGTCTCTCTGGATGTTATCAAGTCACAGATTTGGGCTTGAGGTAAAGATCATGTATTACTATTATTCAACCCCCCCCCCCAAAAAAAAAAAACAAAAACACACTCCTTTTTATACTTGAAATAGCATGATTTCACATACAATCCTGGGTTTACACGGATTTATTTGAGTGGTGAGTATGTTCAGAAACTGATGGGCTGCAGTGAGATAAATGAGTCATTTTTGATCAGCTGACAAATTCCACAACATTTTGTCAGGTTGCATTGATTCACTTTCAAAACACCCTTTAGTGGTAAGTGGCAAGTGTAGTTATTTTGAGTGCTAGCTGAAAACACAAGATGGTGTAATAACATGTGGGTGTTGTCATTTGTGCAAACACTGCTACTTATCTTGGTAAACAACTCCTCCCTGCAACCTTTCTCACGTACACAGTTTTAGGAGTGGTTATTCAACAGTCAAGCAGAAATGCTGATTATTAGAGAATGGTGTTGTTCATTACATTTGCTATAGACAGTAGCCTTTATCTGGTTAAGAAGATTATCAGTGTCCATCTAGATGTATCCTGTGCTGGTGTACATGTTGCTGTCTCTGTAATGACTGTAATGTGTGTGTGTGTGTGTGTGTGTTTTCAGAGCCCTGTCGCAGCGCGGTGGGCTTCCTGTCCTGGAGCATCTCAATTTGTCTGGCTGTCTCTTCATCACTGAGGTGGGGCTGCAGGAACTGGTGTCAGCCTGTCCTTCCCTCAATGATGAGCACTTCTATTACTGCGACAACATAAACGGTAACACTCAACAGTGAAACTGCTTGGGGTTCTTTTTCATCTGAAACATACATTTGTAAATGATTTAGTAAAGTGAAGTAGCTGTGTTATTGTATGTTCAACTGTATGTGAATGTAAAAAATCTATTGCAATGTGTGGCAACTGCGATAAACATTACTAACCCCACCTGCATAGCATGTGTCCTAGTGTAAGTAACAGATGCTACTGAGGTGGAAGGTAAGTAGGCATTATAGTAGCCAGTATGCCTTCAGTATTCACTTCATTCTATTCATTCCTTTTATTTACTTAAAATAGGATCATTTGTTTTAAGTATAGAATGTGTAAGCTTTTTCTGTTGTCATATAGCATGCAGATCAGAAGATGACCACTGTGTGGTGTTTCTCTCCAGGTCCTCACGCAGACACAGCCAGCGGCTGCCAGAACCTGCAGTGTGGTTTCAGAGCCTGCTGTCGCTCTGGAGAGTGATCCTGCCAAGCAACGCTCTCCTACAATGTCACGTCTCCTTTATATTGCACTTTATCCTGGGAATACCGGTTGCTGTATTTTGTGACACTTATAAATGTTTCTGGATGAAACTGTAATTTGCTCCCGTTATTTCCATTTCCATCTATATTAAATGGAAATAATCCCTTAGAAAAGGAAAACAAAGGGGTGATAATGGATTTGAAGTGTTTGAAAATGTACATTCTGGTTCCTTTTTTGGATTTGAAAAATTAAAAAACCTAGAGAAGCGTAAACACCAAGTACTTTGTGTTTTCTGTAGTTTAACCGTTTTTTTTTTCTCAAAATATACAGATTTACATAAGTATTCTTCTCCCCCTGCTGTGTTAAGTTGATCCATTTATAATCAGCACAGTAGCATCAAAGTGATGTTTTACTTAACCAAGCGGTCGATTTATTGGAGAGGGTGATGTGTGAAATGAAACAGGAGTGAATTAATTGCTACCACCCCTTAGATTGATGCTGACTGTTTGTTGATGGTTACTGGTCCGAATGATTTACATATAGTCCCACTGTACCAACCCCCCTCCCCCCACCTGCTATCTAACCTTGATGTTCAGCCCACTGTTGGTGCTGGTACAGCCACCGTGGGGTTACTGAGACGTCAGTAAAGGATGTACAGACGTAGGCGTTGGTACATGATGTTGCAGAGTAGTCTTAAACATTTTGTCGAACTTTGTGAAACCTGATGTTCATAGTCACCAAAACAAGTTTGCTTTTTATTTTTTCTTGATGCACTCCATGTTGTCAGCGAGGAAATGGACCAATGTTCATATGAGAGGGATTTAATATGGCCAACACTGGAGAGCTTTTAGAGAAGCTAAATAATAACCCTCAGATTGGGAGAAGCTTACCGTGTACTTAGATTGTACTTCATCTTTAATCATTCTGCAGCAGGATTTATTTGCTTGTTCAAAAGTCTTGCATGAGGAGTTCTATTGGAAATGTTCAATTCATAAATAAAACAGTATCTTGGGGTTAGAAGCTCTGTTGTTGGTCATTTCTCATTATTTTGTGAGGTAGAAATTAACAAGCTGGAAGTTTCTATACCTTTTTTTACTATTCTGCTCTCTCATATGTCAACATATATTCATAAAATATTGTAAACATTTGAATATAGTCCACTATAAAAACAACACAAGCTGTAGCCTCAAAAATGGCTGTTCTCTGATGATCAAGAACATGCAGGGTTATTACACTGTATTGGATTTAATATACATATATCACACTGGTAACTGTTTATCAAGGTTAAACTGATATAAACTATATACAATAAGGTACAAAATGTGTGAGTAATTACATAAATAAGCTTAAATAAAGCTAAAGCTCATTTGTATACAAAAAGCAACGATACACTGAGATTGTATTAGGTGCGCACAAGTGAGGCCAGGTACACCCACACAGACAGGACATTATTAGGGTAGGGGTGCACATACACAGCCAGGGCAAACTCCACATTTGATGCCTGAACATGGTGAACTCCAGTGCTGTACACTGCCTCTATGATGGGCCGGATCTCAGAGAAGGGCATGTGCAGGGGGAATCCTGAAATCTAAAAGAAATAAAAAAGCCGATTAGTGATTATTTATGATAGGAATTTATTAATGTGACTCCAAGTGCCTTCTGCCAGCTGACATCATTGAAATGACAGATTGATGACTGATGACTTCATTCAGTGACTCAGTCAAGTAACTTTCCAGGCACTCCCATTAAAGACTTACCCTGTTGTCTCCCAGCAGGCTCTGTAACTCGTGGCGGTGCCCCTCAGCCATGTCCCGCCCCCCGCTCAGCTCCAGTTTGGGCAGGAATTGTTTCAGCGTGGTGGTGCAGTAGCGGTTCCAGCGGGTTGGGTGACGAGGGCGCCACTCCATGATCTTCTCCTTCAGGATCTTCTCAATTCTGTGGAGATGAGACGGTAAATGTGTGAGGCCCGCTGTGGAATTTCCGCCTAACAAATCAATGTGACACAGTGTTAACTTGCCTGTCCTGAAGCTCAGCTGCAGCTGCTTTATCTGTGCGCCGATATACCAGCTCGTCCGGCTAAAGACAATCAGATTTAGAGGAAAATATAGAAAATAATACAGCTGAACATACAATATTGTACAAAAATGTTGAACACTCACTTGCACACTTGACAGCCCAGGGTGAGAGAAGGTTCGGGAGAAAAACGGCTTCCATAAATTGGTTTTTGTGACGTCAAAACTCATCGTCATTGGTGATGTATATTCTTGGATGTTGAACCACACCTAAACAATTTCAAATTATTCAGAGAAAATGACATAATCAGCTGCAATCTAAAGGAAATTATTAAAAATGAAAAATGAAATGCCACATCATGAACCGGTACTCTCTTCACTCACATTGTCAGCATTGACCAGGGAACCGACTGTTTGCAGTGGGCAGAAGGTCTCGTGCTGTCCATAGTACTGACCACTGCTGGGATTCCAGATAAGGTAAGTATGGTTCTGCTCACAAGTCAAGACATACGCTGTTGGTCCCTAAGAAAGATCAAAAATCTTAGTGCTGCTGCGGGAAGAAAGAGATATTTAACAAGTCTGTAGGTTTACAAATATTATTCCACACCTCTGGTATAGCAGTTCCAATTATAAGCCAGGCTTTCTTCCCCATAGATAGGAAGTAGTTACACAACAGTACAGCATGTTCTTCTTCATCTCCTGCCAGGAGGGTGAGGAATTGCTAAAAACAAGAAGAGAAAACACAAGGTACTGTAAAGATGGGCACCATCTTACAATCACAATACCTCAGAGAGGGTTCAGGTTCAGGTTCACTCACATCACAGGTGCTCCACAGGTCACAGGCACCAGACAAGGAAACTCTGTCAGGCAGAGAAGGGATGAGCGAGACGAATCGGGCAACCAGGGCCTGTGTAAGGATGGAGTCAGTGTCACTACAGGACATCCAGTCAAATAGGCAACAATTACTACTGAAGAAGATTGGAGTAATTGAGCAGCCTCTTTCTAGATTCACTTCAAACAAGCGACTGACCGTGGTCTCCTGGGGGTTACTGGGGAATGCATCCAGCAACTCCTGTGGGGGGTTGAGTGGTCGAATGTAACGTGTGATGAAGACCGTCTTCCCGTTGAGGTCTATGATTGTGGTAATGCAGGGTCGGTCCGGGTAAGCCTGCGCTGCATCCCTTTCAAATCTCTCTGAAGCCCGCAGCAAATGCTCATCCTCCTGGCTGTCAAACTGCATAAAAACGGACAAAGGTTACAGCAGAGGCCGGCGCCATGGAAATGGATGAATGAGCCTTAAAAGTGATGCGGTCATGGATGGGTGATTTAGGTGAATAAAAAAGGAAGAGTGTTACCTTCATTTCCTTTATCTAGCACATGCAGCAGAGCAAAAACAAATAAGTGACACAAAAGGATGACAAATAAAAGAACAAATGAATAAACTGATGCATAACCATCTACTTTTAAAAGCATGGACACTAATTGTCTCAAAACAAGGGTAGAAATTTGCTATTTCTTGGAATAGTCAAGCACTAACCACTTTATATACTCTGTTATCCTCTGTGACAGGATCCATATTATTCAGTCTTTTGTGTAATCTGGCCCTTGTTTTGGTACAATATGGTACAATAAACCTTCATGAAAACAACTGAATGTGAACATATCAGACAGAATATGAAATGAACTGGTTATAAACACAAAGATGGACTAAGACAAACTAGCACACAGTGATGCAGGATGGGCACTAAGAAGCAGACATGACCCAAACATGATTTACCTTTTCCCTAATAGACTCTCCAGGCACCAGCTGCGGATCAATGGTGATGAAGAGTGTGATAAATACTCCCTCACCCAGACTCCGCAAAGTATCATAACCACCATTAGTGCCGTGGCTAAGCTCCTTGCTGTACCCCAGCAACACCGCTGGTGTATTCACCTTGAATGTTCCATCAATCTACCCAATGGAATTAAAAGAAAAACACATCAGTCATCAGTTCAGGGAGTCAGTGTGATAAATAATAAATGTGTGCTAATAAACACGCAGCAACAAAGACTCTCACCCGTGACTGAGAATAAATGGTGCTGAAAGGAATCTTGACAGAGCCCAACCAGTGCTTCTCTACCCGGGTGTGTACTGATTTCCCTTTGTCTTTGTCAGTCTGAGGAGCAAAAGGTGTTCAATTATGAAGCAAAGAACAGGGAACATGTCCCACACACAGTACTATCTGATTGGTTACACAGCATTTGGTTCTGCAGCATTTCATTTAACATATGCTTAAAAGTACTCAGGTCTTTTACTTAAGTAGAAGTAGCAATACCACAGTGTAAACATATTCAGAATCTTACTTAAGCAAAAGTACAAAAGTATTGGCATCAGAATATACCTGTACGTCATAAGTCATTAGTTGATTTATAATTTGTATTAATAATGTGAATCTGCGAAAAAACTAGTTATCAAATAAATGTAGTGGAGTAAAAAGTGGAAGTATAAAATAGCACAAAAGGGAAAATACTACAAATACCTCAAAATGGTACTTAGTGTCACTCGGTCCCTGTTTATTCAATAGTTTGACACTAAGATTTTCATGTTTACTGCAAATTGGCTCCAAATATCAGTATCCGTTCCCTTATTACTAATAATCGGTATCAGTCGATCCCTAATATAACTGCTGTGAGCAGGGTGAGAGAGAATGAACAGTGTTTTACTCACCACTCCAGTTTCATAAACCACCTCATCAAATATGTTGATGAAAACTTCATCTTTGACTGATTGCAAGCTAGCAGCACTGTAGTCACCATTTGGGGCACTGCAGAGAGGAAGAAGAGTTTGACTATCTAACTGTGTAAAGTGTACTTAGATGCTGTATCTGGAAAGAGTCATATGTTTTGGAGCTATGTGAGTAGATAAAGCTGATTTGGAATTGGCCAGAGGCTGTAAAAAAACAGACAGCAATTTTGGAATAGCCTGGAGAGCCTCGGAATAATTTTTCCTGGAACCATTTCCAGTATTTTACAGTGTGCTTACACTTCCCTAATGTTGTGTAACTGTGATGTGGTTACCAAGCACTGGAAGCTATTTCATAAGTCAACTTCATTCAACATTTCTGATGTCTCAGGTAGGTAGAAACACAGCACAAGTTACTGAATGTGTGAGGGTGTGGGTGCACTCCAAAATAAACATCTTAAAATCACTCATTAAACAAAAAGTCAAGCCATGAAACACAGTTGTCACCTAAATGGTAGTTGCAGCTCCTCGTTCCAGCAGGGGTTTGGTCCGTCAGCTGTGGTTGTTTGAAGCACTGTGCGTTGGAAGGAAACCTCCACAAAGGGCCTCACTTGTACCTACAGCACACCAATAACAAACACACACATAATATAGATCATTGTCAATGAAGATGTTGCTGCCGATCAGCTGTAAGGTAAAGGTGTACTGTACCTGGCCGAGGAGCCAGTCACTGCCCTGGATGGCACTCTGAGACGACTGTCCTGCTTTACTGAAATAAAAACCCATTGACGCAATGTTCAACGTTCTGCCAGGTAAGACGCTTAATCCTTATTTCTGAGGACAAATAAGGATTTGTATTCAATTCTAAACTGTTCGAATTCAACTGGGTGCACTCAACACTCACTTGGTCTGCGGCCTGCGAACGGGGACCTCAAAGGCTCGGATTATGTTTATCAGCAGCTTAATGTCTCCGTCAGACAGATTCTGAGCCGTCACCTTCTTTCTCTCTTTCCTCTGAGGCTTCAGCGGCCGCTTGGGTTCAGCCAGCTTGAAAAGGTTTATTCCCAGAATCCTGAATGGCACAACAAACAGCTGTTATCATTTAGTCAACAACCTACAGGAGACTGTGACTGGTTCATTTAAACTCATACTGAATGCTAATCCGTTATTGAGAGATCAAAAATATTTTTCGTTCGAAGTGTGGGATAGGATTAGTAACCATCAACAGTACTCAGTCCCTCCAGGTATTTGCAATTTTATGATCACAAAACAAATTCTGA